TCCAAGTTTGATACTCCAAATTAATTGAGCCATTCGCACAAGGTGATAACCGTCGACCGTGTAGCTCAGGGGTAAGTGTTTGAAGTCCCGACCCGACTGATCGCGGTTTGGATCTTGACAGGGACACAAAAAAAAGGTACGCACTCCTGACGAGTCCCAAACAGGACGAAACAGCTGTCCAGTGCACTTTGTTGGTTATCACAAACATTTCCGTCGCACTTAAGATGGTAAAATTAGTTATTTTCCAAAATTCGCAAGCTTCACCGACCAGTGAAAGATGGAAACACGAAAACATCTGCCTTTGCAGCCAAGTTGAAATAGAGTAGCTCCAATATATTTCGACGGGACAGCAGTCGATACTTTACACATAAAATCGAAGATGGTTCTCACTCGTATGATATCACCATCGGACGCAAGCAATGTTTCGGCTTTAGCGATGATCGAATGCTGAAACCTGTCCAATGTCCTCAACACGGAATTATCAAGTCTCGCAACCGCATTGTAAAATATTTCGAACTGCAGCCTTGTACATCGACCTTTACAGAGAGGTCTCCATCGTGATAACTCCTTGTATGTCTTAGGTTGCTGTGATGCACATAGGTAACTGCAACAATAGGTGTCACGTACCATTATCTGATTTCGTTATGTTAGATAAAAATTACAGACCCTCTAATTATGTGGAAAAACAAATTTATTGCGTAATTCGTTTGCTGAATTCGTATTCTAAATCTCATTAATCACGTTTCCAATTCGGCCGGTTTAATCCAAATCGGACTGCTTTGATCAGTTCTAACGAAATGGACTAATTATTCATCAATCATCTTCACGGGAGGTCGAGGATTACGTCAAACGATTTGACATCTGTTTTTTTCACGAGGTTGTAACTGGAAGATGAAAAGAAAACGGCATATCACATGCACTTTACTGGAAAAGACGCTTGTTCATGGGTGGAAAGTCTAGCATTTTCTACTGCGCCTGTGTGAATGCCACAGAAGAAACTCAATGAATTACTCTTCCAAAATTTCAAGTCAATGAACTTCGCGGTTTCAGAGAGAGGAATATTCACTTGTGGTCAGAGAATTAGTCATTTCGTGACTTTA